AGTCAATCAGAGGTGAATGGAAGGATAGGTGTAGTTAGTGATGATCTATCTGTGCAAAGACAGTTACTGCCCTTTTACACAAGAGGTTCAAATGTGTGTGGAGTTTGGAAAAGAAAGCACGGCACACTGCAGACAGGAAAGGGATGTGTCAGCTTAGTGATATTGTTTGATTGAATGAGAGTCTGGATCACAACAATTCATCTTAACTACAGGCAGTTTATCGGCTGAGATTTAATCTTGGGGTTGGATGTAATCTGTAGATGCTACAGCAAGGCCATATCTAGGACATTATTCAGAAAAAGGAGAGAGAGAGAGGAAAAGAAGAGAAGGGAAGACTGGGTGGAGATGGTCTGCTGGCATACAATGGTGATTGCTCTTCCTTTCCTTCTTACATAAGGAAGAGACAAATAATTGAAATAATTGGAAGAGGAGGACATAATTCCAGTTTGACGTCATCTATATATAGACGCATCTTACTAATTTACAGCTCTCCTTGTTTGTGAGTTTTCATGCCCTGCATTTAATTAAGGAGAAGAGCGTGGATTAGTCTCTTACTGGGTGGATACAGCATGCTAATCTGAAGTTTGTCAATTTGTTCTTGTTTTTGGAAATTGTGATTTGTGGTGTGGATTCTGCCATATGATTCCATATTTGTGACAGTGTTTTCAGTCTGGATAGCACAATCTTAGTTTGTTTTAGTTAACTTTAATTTCCTTGAAAATGATGTATTGATGCAATGAATCTGTGTTTACCAAGAAGAAATGTGCAATTTAGATTTCACCATATGATGGTTTGCTTTTGTTGGAGCCAGATTTGTTCAATGAAAGGATGTTAGGAGTGTGTTCTCATTCCTGTTTTACGATATCTCTAATCACTCCGTATCTGCCATCATCATGATAATAAAGTATCCTTTGGTTTGACACATTCAACGAGGAGCTCTGATTGCAACACTGTATAGAAGGCCTAACACTTGGCCTGTAACGGTTTTATTCTGAAGTATATCGGGAAATAATCCTCCTTAGAAAACAGTGCCTGTGTTTAATCAACACTTTGAGGAAGGCTAACGATGCAATTTTAAATGCCATTGTGACAGGTAATTTTGATTAGAGATCCAGCTGAGGAGAAACGGCCAGTCTTAAAGGCGAGGATTGGTAGAATCAGAAGAAAAGTCTTATCAGCTGGGAAATAAAGTAGAACGGACAGCAGATGGGTTGTAGAGAGAGCAAGAAGAAAATTTTTGAGATCATATGTCACAAATTATGTACGCCTTTGGAGATATTTGATATTATTGGATCAAATTACATCAGTGGATTTAGGATTCACATGTACTAATCTGTATCCTAAGACATGGGTTACGTCAATTGATTTCTGACGCAGTGAATGCTCACCGTTATGATTTACGTCGTTAGAAGTCCAGGATCACTACTTGTGTGACGTTTGATTCTGATATTGTTTTCCAGACAACTGGCTGACAATTAGAGATAACTTTTCAGAACTTATTTTCAAAGCAATGAGAAAGAAATGCAAATAACAAAGACCACCTGACATTTTTTCATAAATTTCAATAAAGCTTAAGGAGATCTAACACAAGCATGGACTTTTTGAGTTACGGGAATTCATGGAAATTAGACAGCCGTCGCCCTAAGGCATCTGCAATGCTGTGTAGGGAAAGTCAAGAAGGGGGTAAACCTCAGGACGGAGGGGGTGTTTGTGGGGTGGTGGAGGGGTTGGAGTATTCTGGCAGTAAAGAACCCCCAGAGGAACATGCACCTTTGATATATATGGCGGATGAACTGTCCTTTATAGACGAGTTTGTGGAGGAAATAAGATTTAAGGTGAATAGTTTTGATTGATTATTTATTTATTTATTTATTTATTTATTTTGCCTTTGCTTTCAATCAATTTTAAGATAGCAAAAGGACAGTGTTGTACTTAACCTGAATATATAAGTTCAATTTTATTTTTTAATGATGCGGCAGTTTGCACATGTGAGATTTGCCTTTTTTTTTTTTTTTAATTTAAGACAAACCTTCCGCTCCTTTTGATGGTGCATGTTCTGTGAATTCTTTATAGGTTAAATTACATTTTAATGTGTGGCAGATTTTGCTAATGAATTTTTTTATTATCATTCAAATTCCTGGAATGAAGGTCTGTAGGGTTCTATCTAGGTGTTTATATAACAAAAATCCAACATTTATTTTTAATGTGTTATTCAAATTGAACAACATGCATCTAAAGAAATTATATCCTTTGGTGCAGCGCTGACTGTTTTTGATTATTTGGCAAAAAATAAGAATAACTGGTCAGTTTTGAATTATCAATTAAACTGACATTTTAAAGTTTTCTTTAAATTCTATTATATATATAAAAAAATGAAAGGCATAATTCATTATTTTAAAAAGTATGTTTCAGTATTAAGATTTTTCTCTTGTAGACCCTTAAAGTGTTTAAATTCATACAGTAGAATCTGCATATCTAGGACACAGAGAGCAGAAAATTTGAGTTCAGAAGAAGTTTATGTGAGGCAAAGTGTTTAGTTTCAGATAACAGCAAAGAAAAAATTCACCTTTTTTTTTTAAGAGATAAACAATAATGCAAGGTATAAGGTGAGACCTTATGTGGAATCTAATAAACTGTTTGGACTATTCCTGAAGTACTTATTTTAAAGGATTTAGAAACACTTGCAATTAATTTCCTTATCAACCAGCTTGGTATAGACAGCCTGTCTAAAAGCCAATAATGATAGTGAAGTAATATTTCCTTTGTAATTAGTTTTCTCTTGATAATAAACAAGACTCATTGAATTATTTTTAGCAGCACTTTCAGGTTTGATTCTACATCTTTTGAATTTAGAATACTTAAAATTGGAAGACACGTGTATCAGGTTGTTATTTCTGTTAACTAAATTAGTTATGTCAGAATGTTGAGATTGGTTTAAGAGTTTTTATGTTTTGTTTTCAAGCTGAGTAGCTTGTTAATCGTCAGATGTAATATCGAATAAGGTTGTTGACAGGGAAGGAGCTTGACAATATTTAATGTCAGGTATAATTGGGAATGTGGTCATCAGAGTATATGACCCATCTTTTAAGTTATATAAAAGCCTTTTGTAGGTGCGNATATATAAGTTTTGTGTTGTTCTCTCTCTCTCTCTCTCTCTCTCTCTCTCTCTCTCTCTCTCTCTCTCTCTCTCTCTCTCTCTCTCTCTCTCTCTCTCTCTCTCACACACACACACACACAGAGAGAGAGAGAGAGAACTCGTAGTGTTTTGACCATGGTTTATGTTCTTGACTCATCTCCTTGGCCAGAAGACATATGGTCCTGGCTCTCCATCCACTGATATTGCCGTCAGTCTGGGAGCTGATGAATTGGAAATCAAGGAGGCACTCACAGTGATTTATATCTACCTGAAACTAGACATATATTAGAACCCTTTCTTCATCTATTTAACTTGGTTACACTGTGGCTATGTGCTGTAAAAGAATTAAGGGTGTTCTGGCAATGATTCATGCCTACATTAAATTATGGGTATACTAGAAGGAATTCTAGATCTATTTTGCTGGGTTGTCTTGTGGCAATGTGCTGTAAGAGAATTAAGGAGGTGCTTACATGGAATTGGCCATATGGTGGCTGCGCTCTCTGCAGACTCTGTGGCTATATCTCTAAGGGACCCATTTTAGCCTTATAACTGATATTTTATTTTTCAATTTGTTTTTGCTTTCTCTCTCTAAACCCCCCCCCCCCCCCCGCCCCCTTTAACATACTAATTATGTACAGTTAATAACCCTTGGTACTCTGCAGTAAAAAGAAAGTGTACCAGAAATTGGACGTTTTGTTGATTGTATCATCCTACCTTTAGTTGTGAAGAGATATAATCCAGGATTTCAGGTATTTTTACCTGTAGTATTTGTTGCCTAATTGTATTATAAACACTGTCTTATATTTAACAGGGAGCTGTGAAGATGACATGTGCATAGTGGCCATGAAGCCATGAATTGAGCCTACAGCAAGGGTTTTCTTTAGTATACAGAGACACGTCAAATTTTGTTTTATTACACCACATGCAGAGTCAGGGCCCAGTTCATTCAGGTGTTAATTTATACAGGGCCATTATCATGGTTCGTGTTTTAAATACAGAGTTCGAGGCCCCAGGTCCCATCCCAGGTTTATAAAACTGTTGTGGTGTGAGGAACAGATAGTCAATATTTGGTTTGTAATGAAGTGGGGTGCTCCTAGTGTTTACAGAACACCACTGTGCCGAGAGGAGTTCTGTATGTCAAGTGAAAATTAAAAAAGAAAAAGACCACTGAATTCTACGTATACGGATATTCACCCTCAGCTTTAATTTATTTAGTGGCCCTATGCGTTAGAGTGCATTGTCACCAATTTACAGTCTTTGCTGAAAATAAAAAAAAGAAAATTGTCTTTTTTTTTTTTTAATAGAATGGGTACCAGAAAAGCACCATTGTATCTCATAGACAGAATAAATATAATATGAATAAAAATTGCAGATATTTTTCTGTGCATATGAGTAAATTACAAGTTAGTAACAAAGGTGGCATTTTTGGTTCTTATCCATAGATCTATATTTACCTTTGTTGTTATTAAAAAAAAAGCATTTTAGTCAAAACCAAACTATTTTGCCTTAAATCGTCATTATCCAAATTCTTAGTGTTTAGTGTAGTTGAATTTAAAATATCAAGTTGACACATTCACATTCTATTTAAACTCCTCCTCCTGTAGCATCCAGGAACAAAGTGTTGCTTTGATCTCAAGTCGAGAGCTGCACCCATTAAAATGTAGACATCCCAACACTTTGCATCAGAATGGCCATGTATTCTTTTTCTCACCAAAAATATGTAGCACACATTGTCATGATGATTGTGCAGTCCTATATTTGGATTACCCATGAAAAGAAGACACATAGTTATGTGTACATATTTCATGACATCAGATGGGAAGAATGTCAGGAGTAATGGACTGTGTATCTTCACGTTTTTCAGGACATGAAGGTGATGACGCCGAGCTCGTCCCCACCGCCAGAACGGGGCTTGCCCATTAATGCAGCATTTCGTCCGCAGCAGACTAACATCATGTGTGCTGAGGATGATGACTTCACATCAGATGATGACCATGTAAGTTGTAAACTTCATTCGCATGTTTGTGCGTGTGTGTGCTAAATGTATATGTTAATTTTATATGTCACTTATTTTGTGTTATTTCACGTGCAACTCAAACTTGAATCCTGCATGTGAACAAGGTGTCCTTTGGCTCTCACTAGCTGGTGTAATTAATTTCAATGCAAATTCTAATATTTTTTTGTTTAAAATTTACTTAATTTGTGTCAAATTAGCTTTTAAACAAGTAAAATTCAGTTATAGTAGTAAAAATGAACCAAATGATAATCCATTGGCCATAATTTTCTATGATAACTAGAACCCTTTCAGGAACCTATTTTATCAATATTATATGATCACAAGTGTTTTTGCATGTCTCTGAAGTTGTATTACCACCAAGATGTGCTTGTGTCTGTTGTTTTGTCCAGTTAATGTAGGTCAAAAAGTTGAGAACATAGAGCTTTAAGCTAACCGTAAAATAAAACCCATTCTTAAACCATGTATTAATTGTTAAATGAATATATCATATGTATTGTGACTTGAAGTTTTAGTCACAAAAAATTATGGAGGCTATCTTGTTTATATAGTCAAAGATTCCAAACTGTTGTTTGGGAGTTGATTATATACTGACAGAGATAGTCGCAGGTGCCACAAGATCTCACTAGATTTCGACACAGTGCGAATATGCATCTTTGATCACTCCACAACACCATCAAATTTGCTGACTCATTGTTCTGTGTTTATTTCTTCCCTCCCAGCTTGAAGAGCGCAATGCCTTTCACATACTGAGTACATTGGAAACCAGGCCACACCTGTATCAGGTTGTTTGAAATGACAAACTGTGTTCTAACTTTTCATTTAATTCATTAATGATATAATGCTTGAGGCTTTGCCATGATCTGTTGGATTTATACTGCCACGCATTGAAAGCTATGGGTGCATTTTGAACAAGTTGATCGTCTGACTAAAAGATCTGCAGATCAGATATGGCCAAACCATTTGAAAGCTTGCCACATCATCTCTTAATAGGCACTGAAGAGGTTCCCCTCGGGTAGTACGTGGTAAGCTTCAAGTGGACCAGCCATATTAGATCCATAGATTTGTTAGTCTGCAAGTCCGATTTGTTAGATTTGGTTGTGAATACGGGCTATGAGGCAATCTCACAGTAAATGGGAACTTCAACATGAAACATGCCATTATCTGAAAGCATTTTTCTTTTGTTTAATAAGATGATATAAACCATCTCAAACTCTTTGGTCAATTTATCATTTATTTGGGTCTAATTTGGGATGTGGGTGTATCAAAAATATTGCTTTGTGAGCTCTTCTTTCCTTGTCACCTCATTTTCTGCTCCTAGGAGTAGCCATCCAACAGATAATGTCATTTCTTTAACAGTCACTCAACATAGCATGTACTTAGATGGTTAGGCCCTTATGGTTGTTTGAAAACATGGTTTACAGATTTTCACATAGAAATTCTAGGAGACACGGCTCTCCAGTTTTAGTGGTACTTCATTCATCAGCTCAGCCATGCTGGCAAGTTCAGGACTGCTGCTACCTCCAGAGCTCTGTAAACCTGGTTTTCCCATAAACATTGCCTAAACAGTATGGCATCTGCCAAAAGCTGTGGGAGAAGGGAAAAACATCACATGCAGTAACCCCTTTTCCCTCTTCTGCTTTCATTTTTCTCCAAAGAGGAAGCTGGGCTAATCCAAACTAGCAAGCTAACTTGACTAAACTCTCTCTTTCTCTCTTGATCTCTCTCTCTTGATCTGTGACTGTTTTGAAATGGTCAGCAGAGCTAATGTGAAAATTAAAATGAAGTGAACATAATTTTGCCACACTGTTTGGTAATCACCTGTTGGCAATCACCTGACATAAAAAACTTGTTTCTACAGTTGATATTTGAAAGACATTTTCTCTCGTTGCACATTGCTAGAAATTACACCCATTATGAATTAATTCTCCAAAGATCTTTTTGCATGACAGGTCAATCTTCTTTCAGGTTTTTAATTTACCTCAGCATTGCTGGCTGCTCAAAATGTTGTTCTTTGGCATTGCTGACTGGCTTTAACTAGCTGTAATTTCATGAGGAGGCTCATACTTAAAGTGCAACTTCAACATTTTGTCAACCATTACTGTTAGTAACAGCTAGGTTATCTTTTCAGAGCGCTTTTCTCACATTTTTGCTCTTATCGACCACCTGTTCTCTCTCCTGGAGTTCAAACTGTTGCACTGCTATCTGAAATGCACTTTTTTAAAAGACCTGCACATTGGTATTGTTTCTATTATGTACAAGTCTTAACAAAATGTTGTACCACAGATGCTGGATAGGATACAGCATTTTGTGGAGTATTGTGAATGTCAAGGAATGGAAACATTTATCTGCTTTTATATCTCTGATGTGTTTTCAGATTGATCTAACTTGAAAGCACGATGCTCAAATTTACTTATTGCTTCAAAACATAGTTTTTCTCTGTAGTAGATGATTTTGGTTAATAGCTTTGTTTTAATGCTGTTGTCAAGCAAAGCGGACCTTTTTTAACAAAAATAGAACACATTTAACAACACATTTTAAAGATATAAATGCTTTCACAGCCTCCATGGCTCTCACAGAGTTAATTAAATATGCTTTTGAGCTCTTCATTCAAAGGTGAGGACGCAGTGGGCAGAAAAGTTGAATATATGATGAGGATGCTTACTGTTCTCCTTTTCTTTCCTCCATAGCCAAGAGAGCAGCAGGGTCCATTCAGCGACCTGAATGTGTTGAAGAACAAACCGGCCCACTTAGCTGTGTTCCTACATTATCTGATATCAAACAGTGACCCGTCCCCTTTGGTAAGTGATGCAATAGAAAATTCGCTCAAGTTACACAAAGGTTAATTTCAGCCAATGTCTATAAATTTCAGCAAATACCAAAGAAAAGAATGACTATTTCACATTATTATTTTAAGAAATGATAATTTGGTTTTGTTGCACATTGCTAGAAGACTTATGCCAAGTTCGATGCTGTGAATCATTGCACCCATTAAACTTAGTCCGTTGTAAATTACTGGAGGTGCGCGTTTGAAGTTGACTGTTGTAAAATATACATGTGACTAAATGGTGCTTTTCTTGCTGAAGAGCTATTCCAAATCTATTTCAAAGCATGAGTTGTTTTTAATGGTGCACGTCATTTGTTTCAGTTCTTCTACCTTGTTACTGATAGCTATCAGCAGCAGACAGGGAATGCCAAAGAAATGAAGAAGTGGGCATATGAGATCCATTCAACATTCTTAGTACCAAACGCTGTAAGTGAAAATTAATAACTGCAATAAACAAGTATGTTATAATACTGAAGTTTTGAAACTGTTCAATTTCTATGCAGCGATTGAAAGCGTACCTGTAAGAGCTGACCTAACCTTAGGACTTTGTCAGTCACACTGAAGATGTTAGACAATGTATAGTGAACAATGTACAGTGAACAATCTAGTGAGAACTGTCCATTATAACAGTCCAAGAAGTGAGACAGATTGTGACACTCCCCCTCCACCCCCCCAACCCCCCCANGTTTAGAGCTGATGTTCACTTTGTGTTTTGAAAAAATAATATACTAACGTAAAAGTTTATATGAAACCAAAACATGATGCTGACTCGACTAGCTAAGACTTAAATGCAATTTTCATTTCACAATTTCCTGTAATAGGACTTTTCGAGCATGGTTTCGTTTTAGCACTTGATTGAGGTCAACTTGCAAGGTGCTATGGTTTCACTTGTGCAAATATGTCATAACAATGCTGCTATATATGTTATATTTTACAGCCTTTAAAACTCAATATTGAGGAAAACGTCATCCTAGCAGCAGACAAAGTTCTAGAACGAGGAACGGAGGAGCAGCTACGGAATATTTTCAACAAACCTAGAGATGTAGCCCAGAATGACATACGAGAATTGCTAGCTGATTTCAGGAGAACAGGAGACCTGGGTGGGTTTTTCTTGAAAAAAAAATGCAGCTTTGACATTGAGCACTGGTTCCAAATACAATATATAGTCATGTTTGGAATTATTAATTTTGTTTCTCTTATACAACAGTTTGTATCAGGTTCATTGTAAGTCATGCTTTGGGAACCCTCCAATGACGTGTATGTCTTAATATAGCAACTGATAGAAAATTCCAGAGAAACTTGGTTCCTTTGGCATATGAAATGGATATCTTTTGTGAGCTAAACAGGCTGTGTAATTGCTAATTTAAGATTATTCAAGATAATACAACACTTGATATGGAAATTACATGTGTCACATAATAACATTTCTTGGAGGACTTAAACATATAAAAAAGGGAGAAAAAAAACTGTCAGAGGTATATAATATGCCAATTCTGGATTTGATAGTATATTGAAGTGCGTACATTGCAATTCCTCAGGTTTGAGCAGTATCTATGGTGCTCATGAACTGAAAGATGAATACATGGACAGAAACAATGAACTGAAGATTGCTGAAAAATACCTGGCACCACATCTGGAGAGATTGGTGTAAGTATGAAGCACTAAACACATGGAGGGGGGGCAGTGTTGCATTAGTTTAATTCTGAATTTTCATTCTCTCTGATTTCCATTTGATCTGTTTGATCTCATAGTCGTATGCCTTCAGTATATTGTGATGATGATCACTAGTGAATGGCTGTTGGTCATTTTCAGAGATGACCGTCAGGACAGGGCCCAGGCCATGGCCTCCGCGCTGACCACCTTCCTGCGGTCAGTTGGGATCACCAAGGTCGGCCAGACGTCCAACGTCCTGGAGAGGTGTCCAAGCTTTGTGGCGAAAGACAAGAGGTTCACAAGTTTTATGGGTCTCAAGAAAAATGTGAAGAAGGTGCGTGTGTTGTTTTATATGTTGAGAACATTGCGCTAAAAATATAAAGAGAATTAGCCTAAACTAAACTTTGTCAAAATTTGATCTAATTTGAACCAAGAAAAATTGAGTAGTAATCTAATTAAATAAATTATAGAAGTTTCAGCCAACTTTTAATTTTGTCAAAATGGCCCCTTGATGACATTGGAATGAGCCCAGTATTAGAAATGAGATACATTCATTATTAGGCAGAATTGTTACAAGTATAAGACATCAAACCCAAGTGCAGGGACGTGTTGAGCACTGATCCTCGAATATTAGAAAACTGCTTTTCTTCTCTAGAAAAAATTTCCTTTGGCACAAAAAATTACCTATAAGTATCAATTTCCAAAGAACTTTTGACTTTATGTTAATGTTATTTTGTGCTAGTAATTGGGTTAAAATATTCATGATGGCAGCTTGAGATTATGAGCTATGATTTATGGTTTCTCAATAGGGTTCCTAATATTCAAGGAGGCAGTGTTTTCACATAAGATTTTTCTGTAATGATTACTGCAGCAATTATTCACTACTTGAGGGTCAAAAGTATTAAAAATGAAAAACTGATCTAAGCTTGTGAGCAGCACTTCAGGGTTATGATTATTTTATTACTATGGCCTGGAGGAACTGCAGTTGACATAAGAATAACAATTAGAGATAGTTCAGAAGGATGTTAACAGAATTAAGAGTAGGACCAAGTTTAGCCACACAACTTGTAAGGCTTAGATTTCACAATGTATGGTGAACATGTGTCTGTGTTTGTCAACATGTGCATGTGTGTGTGTGTGTGTGTTTACAGAGGAGTTTGTCTACAGGTTTTTTTGTATGTGCACATTTTTGGGATTCAAAATGTCAGTAGATGTTGAGTTTTACTAAGGAACACTAGGCGTTTTCTAGAAAGACGGTCATCTTAGTCCCTCACTTATCAGGCAGAAACAACTTTCAGAGTTCCCGGAAGATTGATGGAGTGTCTCAGCTCTTGGTGGAATCCCCCTGACTCCAGCTATTATCTGGGCAAGAACAGACGCTTGGCAATAGGAGCACTGATTGATGATGTTTTCTCATTCCAGGTCTTCTCTGTCCGTGGTCACAGCTTTATGCCACAGCATTATAGTCAAACCACCTTCTGTGTGTACTGCCATAACATCATCTGGGGGATAGGATACCAAGGATACCAGTGTAAAGGTACTGTTGTTGTTGATGTATTTACTGTTATTGTATTGTACTGTATACACGGTCATAACATCATCTGGGGGATAGGATACCAAGGATACCAGTGTAAAGGTACTGTTGTTGATGTATTTACTGTTATTGTATTGTACTGTATACACGGTCATAACATCATCTGGGGGATAGGATACCAAGGATACCAGTGTAAAGGTACTGTTGTTGATGTATTTACTGTTATTGTATTGTACTGTATACACGGTCATAACATCATCTGGGGGATAGGATACCAAGGATACCAGTGTAAAGGTACTGTTGTTGATGTATTTACTGTTATTGTATTGTACTGTATACACGGTCATAACATCATCTGGGGGATAGAATACCAAGGATACCAGTGTAAAGGTACTGTTGTTGATGTATTTACTGTTATTGTATTGTACTGTATACACGGTCATAACATCATCTGGGGGATAGGATACCAGTGTAAAGGTACTGTTGTTGATGTATTTACTGTTATTGTATTGAACTGTATACACTGTCATAACAACATCTGGGGGATAGCATACCAAGGATACCAGTGTAAAGGTACTGTAATTTATATATTCAAATGTAGATATTGTCACTTTGTGTTTGTTGGTGACAAATCATTATTATTGCCATGGCTATTATGTGGAATATGTAACATATCTTTACGACATGAAAACAAAGTAAAGTAAATGTAGTAATGTTACAGCAACAGATTGGAAAAATATTCATTTAAGAACTGGAAAATTCCTTTGTCTTCTTATTATATTATTATATGTGTAGTTGTTCTGTAAGATATGCCCATGCCTTTTGCATAGCTTGTTTGTATGAGGATTTCTTTTTGTTCCTTGTTTTATGTTGTAGTTTTCTTTAATTGATGTCAATAATACCAGTGTATAATATAACTCATGAGTCAGAGGGCAAACCTCGCTTAATCTTACAAGTTAACTTTATTTGCTGGTGTATATGTTTCAGACTGCAAGTGCGACATTCACAAACAGTGTCTGGACGTGTTGGAGGAGCCGTGTGTAGGGAAGCGAAAACGGCCGTCTACGGCAGTCTACATGCGAGAGCAAATCTCTAGTCTGCTTGGACCAGGCTCTGGGGCAGAGAAGAAGACGCCATCCTCACGTAAGTTGTGCTTCGATGTACTCTTTGTTTTCAGTGTACCCCAAAATTTAATGCATATGTATATATGTGTGTACGTGTGTGTGTGTGTGATTTACTTCCCGTTCTCTATTTACCTGAAGTTATACATGTATGTGTGTGTGTGTGTGTGTGTGTGTGTGTGTGTGTGTGTGTGTGTGTGTGTGTGTGTGTGTGTGTGTGTGGAGTTTTCCCTCTGAGTCACTACTCTACCTACCTTGAGGTTTTATTTATGTGCATTTAAGCCGATGACAGTAATATACATAAACTTAATTCACATGTATATCACTTTGACCCCATTAACCAGGTAAATTCACAGGTATTAGATGATGCTGCCACCTATTGGCTGTTAGCTATATGAAAGATACCATGAATGATATAAAATGAAAATGTATAGAGCAACCAATAGGTGCTTGAAAGTCCTGCCTTAGAAATAATGTATAAGTTTTAAGCAGTGGATGACAGTTTTGATGTTTATAGTGTAATAAGCATATGAGGAAGATTTAGTTTTATAGTACCTCATATTCTACAGTGACTAATGGAAAACTACATGCGAGTTTAAGAATGTATGATTTGATAAGGATGATAAGAAAACTCCAGAAACCACTTAATAAACCTTAGATTTTTAGAACCTTTCCCCCAGTAATCTGTAGAAAAGAAATCTAGATTTTCAAGTGAAGTGTGACCATAAGAATGGTTAAATGCTGTTTTCTGGTGTCTTCCTGGAAAAGTTTCCCATTTTTCATCAGCCCATTCGTCCCTCCATTTATTCTATTATTTTAAAGACAATTAGTCTCTTAGCAGTGACTAACAAGGCTGTTATGTTCCCTTCTGCACTAATAGGTCTTAACATGGAATCAGTCTACATATTGTTTACAATACATGAGCAGGGCCATTTCAGCGAGGAGTGTGCCCCTCTCTGGATGATCATCTCATCCAATAGAGACGACCCTCTTCCTGGGAAAGTGATTGCGACAATAAGACATGAATTACGGGGCACCCATAATATTAGAAATATTTCCTGGAATTTTTATTTTCATT